AAAAATGAGCTCTATATTGCTGATATAACAATCTGAGCAAACCAGTCATTCATACCGAAAAGTATTTTTGAATACGTTAGCAATCGTTAAAATTAAAATCAAATTTATAAAATTATAAAAAATTATAAAATTATAAAAAAAATTATAAAAAAAAATAGCATAAGGTTTTAAATAAATATTGAATTGGTTCTAAATTATTTGTTTTTCTATGGGTCTGAGTCACAAAAATGAGCTCTATATTGCTGATATAACAATCTGAGCAAACCAGTCATTCATATCGAAAAGTATTTTTGAATACGTCAGCAATCGTATTCTTAGTGTTGATCTTGGTCTGCTCTTGATTGAATCTGAGCAAATCAGTCATTCACACCGAGTATCAATGACTGAGTATATTATCAATCATATTTCTTAGTGTTGAACTTAGTTTGCAAAGTGCCCCATACCACATGATGAGTGATTTTTCATCTAGAGACTGTGGACGACTGTTGATATGAATTAAGAGGTTGCTATGGCTCTTATCGTTTGACATATTATTCATAAGTTGAACGAATCTGAATCTTAGAAAATTTCAACCATTAACATGGAAGAGGGTCTTTAAGTACATCAACCTTGATATGTTTTACTGTTGATCTTGGTCTGCAAAATGTATATAGCCGCGTGGCTAAGACCCATTCAAGTTAAAATCATAGCCTGTTGTATTATTGCTTATGAGATTGTGGACGGGTCTTGAAATGAATTAAGAGTGTACTATGGTTCTAGTCGTTTGTCAAATGAGTGATATATTAAACGAATTTGAATCTTAGAAAATAAATTCATTTATATGAAAAAGTTTTTTAAGGTACTTAAGAAATAATATTTTATTACTGACTTATTTACCATTCGATGATGAACTACTATTGAAACGAAGTCTTGTTTTTTAGTTACTGTTTAATTCCAATACTTTGTGTCACTGTGTAGAAACTCAAAATACATGATTCTCTACATTTTCAGAGCACATTTTCAAACTTTATCTCTGTAAATAGTTTTTTTGACCATAAAGTCACGGTACAAAAACAACAAGTGAAAGAGACTAATAAACTTTCCGGTTCTTAAACTATTGCAAATGATGGTGCTTTTTTAATCTTGTGGTAATGCGAAGGCTTAAATTATCGTATGACCTTTGTTGGAAGTAAGTTCGAACATTTTGTTTGTCATTTCGAACTTTTTTTTTCATCATAGAAATCGATGTTCTGCAATTGTTCATATTCGTGGAAGTATAAGAGTTGCCTTTTTCAATCAGGCATAGTTATTTTTTGCATATTGCTGTCCTGTCATTTTTGGATTTTGTCTATTTTCAAGTCAATATTTAATGCATAGCTCGTTTTGAATTGTTCAGCTTAGTAGTCATTTCATTTCATTACAGGGGCTCCATTTATTTATGGCTTTTTATATCACATTGGCTATAGTTAATCCTTTTTTCCTGCAGTTTTATTCTAGTGCTTCGCTCAATAGTGTCAGTTTCTCTATATTTTCTTCCATTAATTTTCTCAATAAATTCAGTTTCCGAATACTGTGTTGTGGTGCGAAATAAGAAAAATTGTGTCCCACTGAGTATTTCCAAGACATAACAGAAGTCTTTCAGAAGCCTCATTCAAGACTTTTCTCTCAATTACAGGGCTATTGCTTATGAATGCTGAAGTTATGTTGCCGATAATAATTTTTCCAAAGAACTTAAACTCAAATGTTTGTTAATAAAAATCAATAAAATAAGTTGTTCTTAAAAGAATATAGACTCAGTGTTGCTAGCAGTTCTGAGAGTAGGACAAATTTGGTTACAGTTCAATTGGGCCATAGTGTAAGCACTTCTTATTTAATTTTGTAAAAATAAATTGATATTAACACTTAAAAAAAGTGTGGCATGAAATCTGATACAGTATTTTTACAAAATCCAAATGGTTCCAAAAATAGACAAATTATACTTAGTTTCATCAATTTCAAGTATAGTAATATAGTCTCAAATGGTTTTCTTATAAGTATCTCACAAATCTAATTTATTTTTTATTTCAGATGACATATACCCACGCAAATTTAAACGATATTAAATAAAGCCTATAAAAAACAAGGAAGAAGCCAATTACACAAATGTCGAAATGGTCAATAAACAAAGAATGGCTTAACAACTTAAAAATCTAAGAAAAAAAGTTGTAAATAAAAATTGTTCGAAAATGTGAGGAAAAATTAAGTAAAAATGGGAAAGACGACCAAATAGCGAATGTAAACATATCATTCTTGACATATTGATGACAATATCCAAAATTAAATCTGAAGGCAATTTTTATTAATTGAGTTTGAAAAGTCCTGCTGTTTCCTATTTGAGCACCACCGCCCGAATAGATAAATCGAGGGTGGGAAAATAAACAAAAACAAATCAAAACAGAAAATGTCCAAACAAAAAATGTGCCACTTAATGAACCATAAAGTTCGATATCTATAGGCGACCATTAGCAGTGTAATAAAAACCAACAGGCGAAGGAAGTAACCAACCAATGAAGCAAGCGGTTCGTGGTTTCACACAAGAAGGCAATTACTTTCAATGTCAACCACCGTTGACAATTTAAGCAGCACTCAATACCACAAAATAACACTCGAAACCACTGTGTTCTGGCGCATAAAAGTGGGAGCAAATTTTTTTTCCAATTAATTTATCGTTTAGTGTGCCATCCAAATAGATACATTTTAACCACATGTATAGGCACTCACTTACATACATACATACATAGCTATACATAAACGTGTAGGAGAAGCGTGGCATACATAGTTAAGCAAGGACACCGAACAAGAAGACCAGATGAGAATGCTGCCGACAACAATGAACCGTTGCCGAAATTGGTTCTGTGCGCGCAATAATAATAACGACTATGCTGAGGTTTCAATTAATGACGCAACTGCTTCCACACATCATGCTGTTGCAACACCAGATTTCATTAAAGATCACCAACCATCTACAGCGACTACCGCAACAACGGCTACTACAGCCACTACTGGTACGGGAGCTGGAACAGGCATTATTGGCGGTGGCGGTAATGCACATGTCGTCACTTTTCTCGATGATGTGCCGAGCGGCAATAACGGCATAGTTAGCACAACAAGTCGCATAATAACCAATTCGGAATTAAACGCTCAAGCAATGGATAACAATTCGGATGCTATTGAGCCGATGGACGATTTTGCATGTACTTCCGGTTCATTGCTGTGTGATGAAAATGCGCCATCATCGAAAAATTGCTATCGTCTGGTAATGTTAGGGTAAGTATACAAATACGATAAACTAAATTCCAATTAAGAATGATTTCAGTTCGAGCTTTATTAAATCATCTCATATTTGGCATCATCCTTTGTTGAAAATGTGCAGAGATACAGAAATAATTAAACGGATATAAGCAGCCTTTATCCCAGATTAGTTGAATACATTTCATTATTTTTCTGTTAAAGATTGTGGCTCGCAATTTGCTTCAATTCAATTGATTCCTTGTTGAATTCCTTTTTAATAATTTCAATTGATTCCACCCGTCATGTTGCTGTCATGTTACTCCCCCAGTATCATTAAAAAACAAAGGCAAGTAAAATTGATTATCCTTCATTGCATATTAAGCACAACCGTGGAATAAATCCACTTAAAGCACCACAACTCCAACTACGTGCGCGCTCGATGTGAGTGATTCCAAATTAATTAAGTAGATTATTTTAATTATTGAAAGCAAAGTATACACTGAAAAAATTGCTTAATGCTTTATAAATAAACAGAGTATTTGCAGGCTTTTTAAGCTTAATTCAGTAACCTTTTGTTAATTACATTTTAATATATACTGTACACATATTGTTGATATTTCATTTAAAAATTACTCTCAAATAAATGAAAAAGGTTAATACTTGGGCGTTTTCGATTCTGCCTTAAATGGCATGTATTATATGAGAACGGATTAGAGAGCAGTTATATTAAAGGTTATATTGTTATGGAGTAGTTTAACCTTTATTTGTTGGCATATATGTTAGTATGATATTTATAAAACATTTAAATTATAAATAAATTTAAAACATAAATATGATTTTATAAGTCATCTTTAGTCTGTTGTCTATATTTTAGGAAATAAATAGTCTTATCCATAAGATTTCTATTATTTACTCATATTGAATAAATATTTTATTGATTTATAATTTATTATTATTAACAAAGTTATAACGTTATTGAAACTTACATCTAATTTAAATAATAGGAGCTATCGCTATATGGCCTTAAGCTTGACTTATATATTGTGTAGACTGGTCTAATACCTTTCGCCTTCTTTCTGCCAGTAATATGATTCTTAGTTAAAAAAATTTTTGGTTCTTGAATAACAAAAAACTGATCCGAGATTTTTTCTATTCGTTCGAAGCAGTCACAGTTACAGTTTAAAAACTTTTATAGAGACTGAAGTAAATAATAAGTATACTATTCAAAGTAGTATCTGACATTATTTTGGTGCAACACTTTACCTGTACTAACGATGAATTTTGTTTAAGAGAATGATTAAATAATAAGTATATCACATCTAAAGTGGGATTTAACATTGTCTTGGTGAGACACTATACCTGTTCTATCAATTAATTTTGTTTAAGCGAATCATTTGCTTTGACCAGATAATGACTGTACGTTTAAGAATTGATCGTTATATAGTCCGATAGAAGCTCAAAAAAACAGATAATTCTTTGCAAATCAACCCAAATAGATATTATCACCTTCCTTTGTTGAATACCGGGTTTTAAAGAGTTTTAAATCAGTTTATTTTTTTAGCTCCTTATGTAATTGCATTTAACATTGTTGTTGTCATCTATTTCTTGACCCCAGTAATAATGCTCGTTAAAAATGAATAATTCCTTTTCTAACATTTGACAGGTTAATCACAGCAGACTACAAATTTCTTTCTGTAAGAGTCATTTTCAAGTCATTTTTTAAGCTTAAGATTAAGAATTTGAATGGTCGAATTTAATAGATTTAATCTCTCAGCAATCTCACAAGTTACTATCAATGTCGGTTCGTATCTCTTTTGTGTTTTGATTAGCTTCATCTGGCCTTCCAGAACACAGTGCGACTTTAGCATCAGAATTACCGAATGGCAATTTTGCAAACCAGTTTCGACATCGCCCTTGTCTCAATATATGTTCTCTTTAGAAATTTTATTATTATATTGAGGCTAGTGAAGTCAGTGCACTTGTACACTTTTACTCTCTATTAATTGTGCGGTTTCTTCATAATCCCTCTTTACGCCTGGACTGGGTTACTGTTTTTCATTTCATCAGACTAAGCAATAATTGACCTCAGATCTGCATACCTCCCCGAAAAGCCTGTTACCATTCTGAGATTCGATAATGCGGTGTTGGTAAGTCTGTCAGTCTTCGTAAATAATTTCAGGGTTCTATCCTTTATGTATTTTTTGATCGGATCAATCTTGAGGTCCCTAAGGATGTTATTCGTCCTAATGTACCATGGTATCTTGAAAAGTCTTCTCAGAGCATGGCTTTGTGCACTTTCTAGCTGACAAATAGTAGTGTTTGAGGCTTTGCTAAACGCTACACATGCATATAGAAATGGCGGTCGAATTATTTGGTTATACCTATAACAGCTTTCTGTTCTTAGTATTAAGATTTTAATTTTTAAACAGCGGTTGGAGGTGATGGAAAATTTTGACACTGTCATCCTTTTAATAGTTCAACTTGTTTAAGTTTATATATATAACCATAATATGCTATTCACAAGAATGGGTATCAATTAAACTGAAATAAAATTAAATAAAAAATTGATATGATGAATTCAGTCCTAAAACTTTCACTTTTGTTCCAGTGTACTTTTTTTGAATTTGTATAATACAGAGAATGAAATTAAAAATAAAACATATTTAAAAAGCGAATTTAATTGACTATACTCTCCCAGTCAATGTTTTTTTTATCCAAAAATAGTTTGCTGAGAACAGCAAAAATCAAATTGGTTTAATTTAATGTCGTATAAAGAAGTAAAGTTCATTGTCACGTAATTCGTAAATCTTCAAAATTGTTGTAAAATTTTATATGAGTTTTTCTCAAAAGATAACTAAACAGATAAACTTAATTACATTCGTGAGACTTGCACGTGCCAAAGAGGCTCGCCTACTTTTAAGTTTCGCACAAGTATCTCATAGTGCAATATTTCAGTAATAGACGCAGACCCAAATTAACGCACACAAACGTGCAAATATCTTTGAAATACCATACATTCAACTTTATTGTTTAGCAGGAATTGTTTTATTATCACGAAATTAATTAATTTTCGAATCATTTATGGCATTAGGTTAAAAATAATAAAATTAATTATAATTTTCGCAGCTCCTCACGTGTCGGCAAATCATCCATTGTGGCCAGATTTTTAGGCAATCGGTATGAAGAGGCATACACACCCACCATTGAGGATTTTCACCGAAAATTGTATCGCATACGTAATGAAGTGTATCAATTGGATATATTGGATACATCCGGTTATCATCCGTTTCCGGCTATGCGACGTTTATCATTTATGACTGGTAAGTAGAATAAAGCCTTGTAGTAGTTTATATTAATGGGTTTGGAAGAGTGAGTATTGTATATGTTTGGGTTTTACTACAATGGAAACAAAATGTTTCGATATGAATATGTAATTGATTGTTGAGAAATATGGAGGAAAGTTTATTTTCGTTTATAAATTTATTATTAATTTTCAGTCTGTTTTTTACGTAAAATATCAATGCATTGGATGATATTTCACAACAAAGATTCTGTGGGCCACCTCATTATAAGACAGATTACTCATTGGAACAATAACCTTAGATTAGAATTATTTAAATTAATACACAAATTAAGTATAAAATCTATTTAATTTGTGGGACTTTTGAAGAGAAGATTCAAAGAACTCTATTGCAAAGTTATTACGATTATATTGTAATCTGTCTCGGGAATTAGATTTTTAGTTAAAGTAAATATTTTTGCAATGAAAGATGTCTGAAGCATCAATTGATGATTCGGTTAAAGCTAGAACTTCAGGTTTACTTGTAAATATTGCAATATTATTTAGTCTCATTGCATTTAAGCTATACTGTTTCCAAAGAAACTCAGCGCTGAGATATCTATTAGTCAATAATGGTCGATATATAATTATTTTCTCGCTTGCTTTGAACATCTAAGCAAATTGATCGACATTTTATTGTTACTTACCTTTTAATGTTACATTATTCTGAGTATGTAGGTGAAATGGAGAAGCCAATATTAAATTTTGTTTTAAATTGAGAAAAATTAATGAAGGACTAATAAATAAGTA